ATCGATGAGCCTATGCTTGGTTCCTGAAGCACTAGCCTAAATATGTCCTTGTGACAGATCAATAGCTATTTTAAGGACGGTAAAAGTTAGTCTAGTCGCAGTGCATTGTAATGAAATATTGAGTAAACAGCTTAAAACAATTTATTTTCGCACATATACTTTCATCTTATTTAACGTGTATTATGATTTCTTGTCATTACTGAGAATGATATCCATTATCAGCAGTGGCCCACCCAGTGTCCTCTGCAAAGGTAAATTACTATATTACCTCTATTTAATACGAGTTCTACTTGACATTAGCAAGAATAATGGTTTGAATGCCGTGTCTTAATTTAATTTAATGTTTCAACAAGTATATATAGCCTAGCCGAACGATACTAATAAAAGTTTACGAGAGCGGTGATATGTTTAAATTTGTTAATATATTTAAATATCTAAGTAATAATAACACGCACAAACATGGCAAAATTTATATAAACCCATTGTTATTAAGGCTGGAATGTATAAAATATGGACTATACCTCCAAAAAATACCTGATCAACCAGGCTGTGACTCACACGTCAGGCTGCGAGCAGCCGCGTCCAACAGCCTGGTTGACCAGTCCAGCAACCAGGAGATCGGGTCGAGGACCGGGCCGCGGGGTCGCTAAGCCCAGAAAACACCTCAAGGTATTGTACCTAAAACAAATTTATTTTGTACTACTGTAAAGGCCATTAGAAAAAATGAAACATATGAACCATTAATCTAACCAGTCTTAAATAGGCAATTCCAGGCCTAACACACGCAATCTAAAGCGTAATTTAGTATATTTATGTGCTATACTTGGCCCTGGAAAAGCTATGGTCGGTTTTGGTTAGCGGGTTGTTATATCTGCTTTAAATAATCTGTTGTACTTAAAAGGGTTATATATATTCTAAGCAAGTCTACATCCTAATTTTAAAGGAGCATATTTTCTTACGTAGGATATGTCTCGTCAATCAAAGCTACAAGAGTCCTATAAACTGTGAACAATTTTCATTAAAGGAAAATCCAAACTAATGAATTATGATTTTGATAAAGTACATTCATACGATGTTCTTTCGTCACAGATGTAATAACCTAAAATGTTAAATACTGGCATCACCACTTTAATGATCCCACCTGTGTTACATTGGAACTAGCACAGCAGATTTAATAACCCTAGTCCTCTATGTGATATACTGCCAGTCGTTAATAGCTCAACCAATACAGTACTGCATCATCACAGTAATGAACCTAGTCAACCCCACCTGTACAACACTAATACCATCATTAATAATTGTATCTTTATTAGGCTGACTAATGTTCCTACATGTGCAACACCCTCACCATTGTCTCGGTAGAACCAGAAATGAATTCACCTGAGTTAGGAGAGAAACTGAGGATATTTGAAAATGATATTGTTGCAAAATCTAAGGACTATTCAAAGTTGTTGTTCTATACCAGATAAGGAGAAAATCAACAGTACAAGACCATGTACTCAAATCGAGGAGACAAGGGGAAGTCTCACAGAAAATAGCAACGAGGTATGCGAGGAACTCAACAAAAGATTTCAAGAGGTCTTTGCAATAGAACCAGCATGGAGACCAAGGTTGCAAGATGAAAAGCTGAAAGAAACAATGGATGACATTATTGTCACTGTAAAAGATGTAAGAAAACACCTAGAGGTATTAGATGTAACAAAATCAGTGGGGGCCAGATCTAATCTCACCATAGCTGTTGAATGAGGCTGCAGAAGTAATTGTCACTCGTTATCTAAAGTTTTTAATAAAATGCTTGAGACAAGAAATACCCGGAAAGGGGTTCGGGAGTCCTTCTACTCCCCGAACCTGGCCTGGGGCCAGGCTCCCAGAAGTCCGGAAAAGTCATATGTAGTCCTAATGTTAAAAAGAAGGGGGGATAGAAAGGCAGCACCATATTTCAGACCGGTGTCATTGACAAATATTCCGTGTAACGTTTTGGAGAAAGTCATAAAGTTGAGAATGATGGAGCATCTGGAGAAGACCAACTATTTGTCAAAAGGATTTAGAACGGGAAAATCGTGCCTGACAAACTTTACTGAGTTTTATGACAGGGTTGCTAAAACAAAACAGGAAAAAGGAGGCTGAGCAGACTGTATATTCCTAGACTGTCAAAAAATAAAGTGAATTATTGTATCACTATATTCATGAGACCCTCCCGACTAATGTCAGGTTGTTGATGTTGGGCATTTGGAACAATAGGTGTGACCAATGTACTGAAACTGAGAATAATATGCATGTATTTTATTTTTGAAAAAAAAAGTTGTTCTTGTGAACTGGATTACAGACCTTCTTAAAGCATTATGTGGACCAAGCACTAAAGTGGATTTAATAAGGTTTGTAATGTTCAATGTAGACATAAAATGCAAGAAAATTGCTTTAAATGCTTCAGTCTGATTACATTTTGTGTGTGTGGATAGGCAGGCGGGAGGGTTACTCAGCGGACAAAATAATGAAGTTCTTGCAAGACAGGATCAAGTATAACATTTGGGGTTGAATCCTCATGTTTTGTGATGATATGAAACATTGGTTTACTGAGAATTATATCAACTATATGTAACGTAGTATTTTCCTTGTAAATTTATGTATATATAACTTGTAAATTTATGTATATATATTGTAAATTATTTAATGAAGAGCAAAAAAAATGGTGCCAGAGCTAAAAGAGTTAAGCTACGAGGAGAGGGCAATGGAACTAAATCGCACAACCCTAGAAGATACAAGAAACAGAAGGAATATGATTATAACATACAAGATACTGAGGGGGCATAGATAAGATGGATAAGTATAGCCTCTTCAAATTGAGAGAAGGCAGGAAAAGAGGACACAGGTGGAAGCTGTGCCTTTTGTGCCCCCTGTAATGCTTTTTGCGCTACCGCTCACAAACTATGGGGTGCATAATAAACTAGCCGCCTCCAGCGGCAACAATCAAAAAAAGGTGGAAGCTGGAAACGTAAATGAGCCGAAGGAATGTAAAGAAATGCTCGTACCCTGAATGGATAGTCAACAAGTAGAATGCAATGAAAGAATTTGTGGAAGTCACTTCCATTCAAACTTTAAGGCCAGATTTGACAAAGAATTTCTCTAAAGAATCCGGTATAGCAATTCTAGTAGGTGCGGCATACAGAGTTAGATCTCACTTCCCCAGTAGACACTGTTAGATAAGTACACCACACTGGAACACCAGTAACTGCCCCACACCACACCGGAGCACCAACAGTAACTCGCCACACCTGCTCTGTATGACGACCCCTGACCTACTCTGACCTTGGCCTGTGTTGCTCATCTTGAGGTGAAGAACAGCAAGTTGCGTGACCTTGTGGAGTGCCCCGCCGCTCCAGACAGGCCTTCCCCTCCCCCCCCCAACCCCCAACCCCCTCGGCCACACCTCCTTCTCGCCAAACCTTCCCCTCTCCCGCCGCCCCCCAACCCCCCGCCCGCTCCCTCGGCCACACCCTCACACAACAACAACAACATTTTCAAACAAGCACAAGATATGCTTATAAAAACATACTTGGGGGCGTTTTTCCTCAAGGCTGAGTATTTTCGGAGTCCTACGTGGGTGGGATGAAGTGTGTCTGGGGATGCAGTGGGCAGGATGAGAGGTTGAGGGGAAGAGGTGAGGGAAGGATCAGAGATGAGGGGAGAGATGAAGGGGGAGGAAGAAGGGAGAGGAACATGTGGTGTGGGTGATGGATAGTGCTCAGGACAGGTGGTCATGAAAGGGGAAAAGAGAAGGATTGATGGTTACCTTGAGGGATGAAGGAACATGTGACAAGGGGAAGGGCTGGGTACAAGTCCGGGTGAAGGGACTGGGTACAGGTCCGGGTGAAGGGGCTGGGTACAGGTCCAGGTGAAGAGGCTGGGTACAGGTCCGGGTGAAGGGGCTGGGTACAGGTCCGGGTGAAGGGGCTGGGTACAGGTCCGGGTGAAAGGGCTGGGTACAGGTCCGGGTGAAGGGGCTGGGTACAGGTCCGGGTGAAGGGGCTGGGTACAGGTCCAGGTGAAGAGGCTGGGTACAGGTCCGGGTGAAGGGGCTGGGTACAGGTCCGGGTGAAGGGGCTGGGTACAGGTCCGGGTGAAGGGGCTGGGTACAGGTCCGGGTGAAGGGGCTGGGTACAGGTCCGGGTGAAGGGGCTGGGTACAGGTCCGGGTGAAGGGGCTGGGTACAGGTCCGGGTGAAGGGGCTGGGTACAGGTCCGGGTGAAGGGGCTGGGTACAGGTCCGGGTGAAGGGGCTGGGTACAGGTCCGGGTGAAGGGGCTGGGTACAGGTCCGGGTGAAAGGGCTGGGTACAGGTCCGGGTGAAGGGGCTGGGTACAGGTCCGGGTGAAGGGACTGGGTACAGGTCCGGGTGAAAGGGCTGGGTACAGGTCCGGGTGAAGGGGCTGGGTACAGGTCCGGGTGAAGGGGCTGGGTACAGGTCAGGGTGAAGGGGCTGGGTACAGGTCCGGGTGAAGAGGCTGGGTACAGGTCCGGGTGAAGGGGCTGGGTACAGGTCAGGGTGAAGGGGCTGGGTATAGGTCCGGGTGAAGAGGCTGGGTACAGGTCCAGGTGAAGGGCTGGGTACAGGTCCAGGTGAAGGGCTGGGTACAGGTCCGGGTGAAGGGTCTATGTGAGGGAATAGGTAAGGTACAGGTAAGGTACAGGTGATCAGGTGGAGGGGCTGGGAGAGGTACAGGTTATCCTGGTGAGGTACAGGTGGTGAAGGTGAGGGGGCTGGGTGAGGTACAGGTGATGAGGGTAAGACAATTTTGTCAGGTGAGGGGCTAGGTGAGTTACAGGTGATGAGGAGTTGGAAGGTAAAAGTTGTCAAAGTGAGGGGCTGGAAAAAGTCCAGGTGGTTAGGGTGAAGGGCTGGGAGGGACAGGTTGTTAGGGTGAGGGGGAGCTGGGTGAGGGACAGGTGGCCCTGAGAAGCGAGGCGGCGTCCCAAGAAGCGAGTGAAGGAGGGGTAACGTACCTTGATCAGGAGGTAGAATGTGAGTGAAGGGCCAGCGACGGCCAGCACAAGCAGCACCAGCATGGCGGGCCACACCAGACGGGTCATGGTCCTGCTACCATCGTGGCCCGCCGGCCCGCACCCGCTGGCTCGCGTCCTGCCTGCAGGGAGGCCACACTCGGGTAGGGCCGCACCCGCCTGCGAGCCTCCTTCATGTGTGTCTAGCCCCGGGCCACCTCGGGCCGCACTGGGCCACCATGGCCTTACCAGCGTAGCCCCCCCGCACTCTGGCACCTCAGCCACCACGTGGGCTGCAGCTCCGCCGGCGGCACTCCTGGCTCTGGATCCCGCGGCGGAACACACCAACTGGCACTTGGGATGCACACCTGCACTACACTGGTCCTCAGCTCCAGCTGCTGCGCCTGTCCTTCACCCAGTTGGTGTCACTGGTTCACACACCTGCTGGCACCTGTTGGAGTGCTTCGCATGCAGGTCTCACAACCCTCCACCTGTGTGCAACACCACACCTCCACTTGCCACCTGCAACACTACTGTACTTTTACTAGCTCTGCCACACACTCGAGTCGCTGATATGCTCCCGGGAGAACACAGAGGTCATGGCTGACAGAGGTGACTGGACGGGTTGGAGTGGAGGTGGGTGACGGGGGCGGGAGGAAGGCAGACCCCTGTGAGACGGGCGGGCAGCTGGGAGCGACAACTGGGCACCTCCACCACCGAGCAGGTCATACCCGACACTGGCCAACCCACGTCGGCCGGGCACCACGTCTGCCAGCCACCAGGACGCACTCACGCACTCACGCACGCACGCACGCACCCACACACACAAACACATCCTAGTTAGTTTTTTTGGTGTGGTTGTTTAATTAGTTTATTGTGAACCCCATATGCATGTGGGTGGTGGTGGAAAGCTTTACAACGTGTTCAGGAACTGGACGCCAATGTCCTTTAGGCTAAATATTTGATGCAGTAAATGTCACAATAACGCGGCAATTTATGCTTTGTGAACTATTTAGGATAGCTTTCATTTGGCTCAAGTTTGTGATACAGTACTGTAGCGAGGGCTGCGGTGCATGACCATGACACAACACCTGCTGGCACGGGAACACCTCATACACCGCATCAGAACTCCACTACGGGCTCACTATAGCCCGTGCTACTTGGACCTTTTTGTTCCAGGTAGCGAATCTTTAACAACAACAACAACAACAACCGCATCAGAGACGCCAATTACTGAGTAAGCTGCCTCATAAGATTCAGTGACAGAATGATTAAGACAAGGCATATTGTATTTTCCTTGGCACATTGAATGATGAAGACAAGGTACATTGTATTGTATTTGTTCGACAAAACTAGCTACGAGAAACTGTTTTCAACCTGTCATCCAAAAATGATAGCAGGTATAGGTTCAATGTATGGAATGTGGAACATAGCATGGACTGTTTCAATCCCCCCAAAACGTGCACGTTTCTTAATATTCATTTCGACGAGGGCCCAAAAAAGGCAAAACTATATATTGAAACTATATATTTGAAAAATGTTACCTTCTCTCTGACTGGCCAAACTAAAAGCCCTAGGGACATCTAGTGAGACCTAAGTGAACTACTTAAAAATCTTCGTAAGTACACTTTTCTGAAGCGCACTGGACACGTACTTAGGAACCTTTGTAGCACACATACTTACGAAAAAATACATGGAGCTTCGTGAATCTAGGTCCTGGGAGTTAGACAGCTGCTATGGGCTGCTTCCTGGGGAGGGGGGGGTGAGGGTGTAACAAAAAGGAGGCTTGATTGAGGACCGGGCCGCGGGGACGCTAAGCCCCGAAATCATCTCAAGATAACCTCAAGATAAGAAGATATCCAAAGACAGGAACACACTAGCCTTATATTTAGAAACGGTAACCGAATTGTTACATATCTCACCTGCAACTATCCTAATTCTATACCAGTGCTAATAAACCACCCAAGACATTATCTCCATATGTTGCTCATTCAAAATTAAAGTCAATAACACTAGCTAAATACTAACCATATAACCATGAAGACCTCCTAGATCTTATATATACATCGATGACGTATCAAATTTATATAATTTGATGATGAAACTGACTTATCTTTCCTTATTCCAACCCACACGCTCTGAATTATATCAGAATTATTACTGAATTATATCATGAGTTAAAACAGTCCACTTATGGATGTCACGTGTAACAAGTTCACACTAAATTTATAAAAAACTTATTATATTTTATTTTGAAAAACATCCTCTAACAAAAGGGACCTTCAAATAAAGAATTTTAAAGTTGAGAGTAAAAATAAAGAGATGATTTCTAGGGTTGTACAGTAATAAGAAACGATTCCTAGAGTTGTACAGTAATTAGGAACGATTCCTAGGCTTGTACAGTAATAAGAAACGATTCCTAGGCTTGTACAGTAATAAGATACGATCCCTAGGATTGTAAAGTAATTAGGGACGATTCCGAGATTTGTAAAGTATTAAGAGACGATTTCTAGAGTTGTACAGCAATAAGAGACGATTCCTAGAGTTGTACACTAATAAGGGACGATTCCTAGGCTTGTGCAGCAATAAGAGATGATGCCTGGGCTCGTACAGGAATAATACAATAATGATAAGTAATTATTAAATAATATTATTTAGTTAATGCTTTATATACTGTTCAGTTAATTTTATTTATAATTATATTCACATAGGGACAACACACGCTGGAAACAACAATATTATGGAATTAGCTACTTTTATTTTGTGTAAGCCTCATCTCTCAAACTGTATATATACAATTTGCTTTTCTTTATTTACTAATATATATGTTCACGACTCTAAATTGTACACAAAATGTTATTCAATTAAGACTTATGCTTTATAATAGCAGTAATCAATATCTCACTATGCAACCTAAGTTGACGAAATAAATTGTCTCCTGTATTTTATAATGAATCCATTAATATCTTTAGAATTTTAACAATTAGTGTTTGTATTTTGTTATTATGTAGTGTATTAAACAATATTGTTTTATTTTTTAATTTATTCAGCATCATGCCACAATGAGGAGTGCCATTATATAAAATTTATAATTTGACTAAACTCCATTAGTAAATTATTACTTTTTTGGTATAATTGCAGAGTGGACTCGAAATTTTAACTGCCAATTGTAAATGGATAACCATTTATGAATAAAATTATTGAGTGAGAGAATAATAAAGGTAAATTGTTAATTTAAACAATGTATAAATAAAAACTCTTAAAAATGAATTGTGTATGAATATTTATTATATTTAAAGGCTATGGGCATTAAGTAAGGAAATGAAAATTTATTTCATTGTACCAAAAAAACACGTTAATCATTGAACAAAACATGTATTTATATCCCCCCTCTTCTCTTTACGCACGTTAACCTCTAAACTACTAGATAACCGACACTACCACCACCACTTTTAACTTAACAACACGCAACCATCCCATCTAGAAAAATACTATCACCATCACTCCTCTTATTCAAAACACCATCACCACAATCACTACCACTTTCCTCTACTAAAAACACCTTCACCACTACATCCATTAAGAAAAACCACCATCACCACCACTTTCCTCAACAATAGAGCACGAAGAATACTCTCTGATAACAACACAACTACACTGTAGAGATATTAAACCACCCGCCGGCGGGAAGTGCCTTCTCTTGCAGTATAGGAACGCGGTGGTGATTGGTTGTTGCCTGGGCGACGTTGCCCCGGCCTGAGCAGTGTGAGAAATACCTCCTTGAGGTGAGGAGGGCATGTTCCCCAAACAGTCTCCGCGCCTATTAGGACTCTGCCTCTTTTTACATACTTGCAGAGTATAAGAGGAAGTCGCCTCCCTCTATATATACCAGCTAACGCATCTGAGACCGCACCTCAAGGATCGAGGACCACTCCACGACTGAGAAAGCCGAACCTTCACAGTGAAGCATAAATTCCCAGGACGTCGCCCCTGGAGTCCACAGGAAGCTACAACTGAGGTGAGTGAGCACAGGTTTTTGTAAACCTGCGGAGCCGTCATTTCCCGCATGGTAACTGGCCGTCACTTTACAACTCTCCTGCTAGTCCCTCAACGCCACTGTGGCGGATTATTTAAACGTTCATTAGAGCATACTGACCAACCAGCAAGTATACGTTAATCCTGTACATAATTTATAAAGTAAAATATATATACACCGTAAAGCGGGAATAGCAGAGTAAATCTCTTGGTATGTATACACGTTCTCGTAATACCATTTTTGTTTATAAATATCAGCTTACAAAGTGTAAGGGATTAGTCAAGTTTTCACCGGATCCATCAGTGTAATTGGCCAAGCGATGAAATGTAAAACATGGTCATTACTCTAATTGGTGACACTAAAACTATTAATACCCTCTGTTGACATTCAGGTGAATTACGACCCCAGCTAGGCTTTAAACCTGTGTACGCAAGTTGTCCTCAGGCTGAGTTCGTCCAGGCAGCGTCAGAACATAAAGAATCATCAATTTTTACTTACTGCGCATTCAAAATTTTGTATTTTCTCAAATATAAGGTAATATTATTTGATACTTGAATGTGCTGAATAGTTAGACTTAACTTAGGTGGTAAGGTTCTGTTGACTATTATTTATATGAATAATGAATGAATGCAGGCCATGAATGAAGCATTTAAAGAGGTACGATTTGAACAGAGGACGTGAACGAAGAGAAAAATACATGTCATCACTTGTGAGTCGTGTGTAAAGTGTTTTTCATTCATGAACAGAGGATTTGGTGGCTGAATTACCGAACATTTGGCGTTTGTTGGTATACAGGATGCTTAGTGAACGGTTGTTCAGTTCAAGTTCAAATATGTTTATTGAGATAAGAACGAAATACATCTCAAAGGGATAGAGTAGCTTAGGCTATTTCTACCTCCCCTCCCAAAGAGTTGTTCAGGCCTAAGATCCACCACGAAGCAAATGTCCTGAACTAGGATTCATAAAGTATTTAAGTGCCCACTTACAATGCCTGAACATCTTTCCTCAATCACTGCGGCTTAGTTTGTATTTGTAAACAGTTTACGAGCTCTAAAGCGCTCGAGGTTATATATACCAATATTAACTTTGACCCGAGAACAACCTCGCGACGTTCATGGATGGCAACATTGCTGATTATCTGTTTGTTTGCTATTTGTCCACTTGAATTTTAAGGTGAATTATCGTAGGTGTTGTAAAGCTACATTTGAATTGTCCATTACTGCAATATATGTACGCTGGTCCACATAGTTACAAAAAGTACAATGTAAACAGGAGGATGGTTGCATAAGAGAGATTCACTATACAGTGAGTCAAGTAAGGTGGGAATAGTTTCCAGAATGCGGCCTTTCGACCCTTGTTGTTCACTATATATGTAAATGATATAGGTAAAGAAGTGAACAGCAGCATTAGTAAATTTTCTGATGACAATACAGTGCGGGTAGCAAATTCAGGCGTCTCGGTAATTAAAAAACAATTATATTGCTGTACCATGAATATATATAATGTAATATAATATTTTTTTCTGTATTTGTATAAATATACATTTTATTATCACACAGTTATCTGTGGCAATGCGGGAATTCTGTTGTTTTATTTAATACTGTGAACTTAACCACACATTTACAAGACTAGTGGCATACCTCTGGAAAATTTCAGAGGTATACCACTAGGATAGTCCCGGAACTAAGCGGCATGAGTTACGAGGAAAGGCTGCATGAACTGTACCTCACGTCG